TAAAGTTTACATTCTAGTGGAAAAATAAAAAGCAGTGGATATTTAATGGTGGAAAAATACACAAAGAGCTTAGCTATTCTTCCACTGATGACACATTCCCACCATCAAAAATATAAACCAACTATAACTAAGTTCTTCATTTTTTTTAAAAATTTACTTATTTGAGAGAGAGAGAGAGAGAGAGAGAAAACGCATGCACACAGAGGGAGAAAGAAAAGCAGACTTCCCACTGAACAGGGAGCCTGATGCTAGGACCCTGAGGTCAGGGGACCTGAGCCAAAGGCAGACGCCTAACTGAATGAGACACCTAACCGAATGGCCTAAGTTCTTCCTTTAAATAATAGTCTCCAGGAGAGACTGTGGACTCAGAAACAAACAAAGGGTTTTGGAGGGGGTAGGGTGGAGGGTGGGGTGAGACTGGTGGTGGGTATTATGGAGGGCATGTATTGCATGGAGCACTGGGTGTGGTGCATAAACAATGAATTTTGGAACACTGAAAAAAATAATAAAAAAAAATAAAGTCTCTAAATAAAAAACAGAACTATTTAACATTTTTTGCAACTAGTTCAACTGTTTCCATAAACTTTTGTGAAGAGAGAGCATGTTTTATCCATCTTTTAATTCCATAATAGAAAAAAAATTGACATTTCATGTTCACAACATCTTGAAGCTTAATTTTGATAGAATGAAAATGAACACAAAAATGACTACGATAAAATAAATTTTGGTGAGGTCTTTTTTTCAAGTAACTTAAAATGTAATTGAAACTTCAGGAACAGAGATAATCTAGTCAAATAAAGAAACTGTTGATCAGTCAACAGAAGGGACTAAAAACTGTAATATCTGAATAAGACATAGAAATCCAAATTATGACAAGGCCCAAGAAATTTTTAAATATGCCAAGGCTTCAACAGCTATGTACTGGACTCTCATTCCTCTGATAAAAATTAGTATTAGGGGGCGCCTGGGTGGCTCAGTGGGTTAAAGCCTCTGCCTTGGGCTCAGGTCTTGATCCCAGGGTCCTGGGATCGAGCCCCGCATCGGGCTCCCTGCTGAGCAGGGAGCCTGCTTCCCTTCCTCTCTCTCTGCCTGCCTCTCTGCATACCTCTGATCTCTGGCTATCAAATAAATAAAATCCTTAAAAAAATTAGTATTAGGGAATAAGTGGTTATGGATATGGAGGTTAACATGATGAATACCTACTAAATGATTTAGGTATGACAAATACTAGTTCAGAGCTAGATTTCAAATGTGGAAGATATAATAACATAATCAGAGAGAGTAAACTGGAGGAAAAGAGATCCTAAGGTCAGGAGAACAAGCCACTAAAGGGCAGAAGAAAAAGTCATGTACCACTGATGTTTTTCTTATGTACTGATGCATGTAGACAAATGGCCTGGAAAACAATGGTTTTAGTACAGTTGATCTATGCACAACACAGGCTTGAACTGCTGGAGTCCACTTATACGCAGATATTTTTCCATACATTGTAGTACCATAAATGTATTTTCTCTTCCTTATGATTTTCTTAATAAGATTTCTTCAGCTTACTTTATTGTAAGAATATAGTGCATAATACATATAACATACAAAATACATATTAATCAACTGTTCATGTTATCACTAAGGCTTATGGCCGATACTAGGCTATTTGAAGTTAAGTTTTGGGGGGGGGAGTCAAAAGTTATACACAGATTTCTGACTGTACAAGGTTCATGCTCCAATCCCCATGTTGTTCAAAGGTCAACTATAATTTCCTCAATAGACCTCTACAGATCAAAAATTTACTTTACACTTAACTTTCCATGAAAGAAGTGGTTTAGGCACTTCAAATATAATTTCCTTGATCAAGACATTTCACACAGTAATTTATGCATGGAAGGCCATATTGAAAGACAGTGTATTATAATATAAAGTAACAGTAGCTAAAGTGTACATATGCAAACCAAGTTATAGTCTTGATACAGTTAGTACATATGCCACAATATGGCATAATTTAAGAAGAGCAAAATAAATTATAAATACTGTATATTTATAATAAAGCTTGATTTACAATACATCATACTGCTTTTAATACACACAATACATCAAAGGATAGTACTATTATAGGATACTTATATCAGCTTCCCAAAGGATTTAAAGTGGTTATTATGTATACTAAGATTTTGTTATGTTTCAATATGCCTTTTAAAGAGGTGACTAGGGGTGCCTGGGTGGCTCAGTGGGTTAAGCTGCTGCCTTCGGCTCAGGTCATGATCTCAGAGTCCTGGGATCGAGCCCCGCATCGGGTTCTCTGCTCAGCAGGGAGCCTGCTTCCTCCTCTCTCTCTGCCTGCCTCTCTGCCTGCTTGTGATCTCTGTCAAATAAATAAATAAAATCTTTGAAAAAAATAAAAAAAAAATAAAGAGGTGACTAAATCAATAACCTTCATAATGTACTGAGTATTTTTTATAAAACTGAGTTGACATCTGAAATGAAAAGAAGTCCACTTTTTCACACAAAAATGTAAATGTCACAAAAAATGGTGATCTTATTTAATATCATTGTTCATTCTTAATAGAGATTAAGATCAAGGACAGAAAGTCTCTCTGAAAATGGACTAAGGAAAAAGACTAACTCTAATTAATAGAAAATAAAGTATAAATGGCATGAGTTCTTAAGCTGTTCAAGATGTATTTCAAGGAACACAGTATCACCCTGAAGTTTTATATAAAATTTTAAGTGCTGGTTTTTATCAGATTCTCATATGAGTGTGAGATTTAAAGAGCATTCAGCACACTTAGAAGTGTAATGATCTTATTGTTAGCTGAAGAATTTTACAAGCCCCTACGTTATTCAACGGCAAATACCCAGACAACAGTGCTTCATTTACAGAATCCCTGAATTTTACTCTTCCTAAAGAAGTTTCAAAAACAAACAAACCCAAAGATGGCACACACAAACCCATCAATTCAAGAGATGTAAGTTTGTAGAAAACTATATGGAATTTTCTAGTGCAGTCAAAATCAGGAAAATCATGAGGCAGTTGTAACATATTTCTCTGGGTATACCCTTTATAAAGCCCTTTCCCATCCCAAGACCTAATAAATTAAGCTGAACATCTCAGATATTCCCTCTAGGAATCTTAAGGGTGAAAACCAAATGCCACTCCCCCCACGAGGGAAGCAAGGAACACTCCCACCCCAAAGAGGCAGGAAAAGGTTTCTCCCAATTTCAAGAAAGTGAGCAAAGCTAAGGTTTGTAGTCAAGAATGACTATCAGCCAAAATGAAGGAGACTTGTCACTCTTGTTTGACGGGAGGGGTGGGAGGGCGGGACCCAAATCTTAATGCTACTGCACACGATGGGCCCCGGATCTTCAAAGTAGCCTTTCCAGATTGGTGTGAAATTGAGAAAGCAACTCAGCAGCAGAGCGGAATGGCAAAGGCAAGACCTGAACCTCCTGGTGAGGAGCTACGTGGCACTAAGCAAACTGCTTGTCTCCCCCACCCCCTGCTTCCGCCCTGCTTTTCCCTTTTGGTTACCAGTTGCTCCAGATGCCGTAGAGTAGTTCAACAAAAGCGAAAGAGAGGTTCAGGCACAGGAAGAAAAACAGGTTCCGGGACGTCTTGTCCGACAGGATAGACCTGGGAGTGATAAAAGTGGAGAGGCGGGAGTCAAAGGGGTGCCAGGACCCGGAGGTTGGGTGCCCTTTCAAGACCCTCCCAGTCCAAACGCTCCTTTCCTCACAGCGAAGGAAGCTGTCCCTGACGCTCCCGCCCTGGACCTCGGGCCATCCTTAGGTCTGGGCCTTCTCCCCTTCGACCGGATACCCCCTTCCCGCAAAAATATCACCCCGCACCTAAACCAGCCCGAAATCTTGCCGAACAGATTGAACTTGGGTGGTTTGTATTCATCGTCCTTGATGGACAGGGGCAACATCTTCTCCGCCCGGCGAAAGGCCGGGTCTACTCCCCTCTAGAAGTGGATCCGTGGGTGATGGCAGTGACAGTGGTGACGCCTCAGACGGGATTCCCCAGCGTTTGTCCCGGGCCGCGCGCCGCTTCGAGACACAGACAGACACAGACACACACCCGGGAACTCGCCGACTTCCGGCCCGGGCCGCGCAACGCGTCCTGGGACGCGAAAGGAGGAGGCGGGGCCGGGGGCGGAGCCAGCGCGGCAGGGGCGGGGCTTGCGGCGGGGGCGGGGTGGGAGCTGCTAAGAGGTAGCAGGGGGCAGAAAAAGGTGGCAACTGCTGGGTAGTTAGTGAGCCCCCCCTGAGATGTAGGCACGAATAAGATCCCAAGGTGGCGGCCCACAGACTGGGATAGCTGGGAGGCTGGAGGCCCGCTCTCGCCCACCCCGACCGCCTACCACTGATATTCCCGGATGCGCGGGCATCCAGCGCCTGCCCTTTCGCCATTTCCCCCTATTGGCAATAAATCCCGGAGTCTGAGATGGCAATGCTTTAGAACCCAGGCGGCAACCTGTACTGCAGCCGCCAGTCTGCAGGGAGCGCAAGTGATGGTTTTGCTGGGGGAACTCGGGGGGCACCCAAGTCCTAGTACGCCAGTCCCCCGAAAACAGAGCCTGGCCTTCCGTACGGCCAAGTGTGAGGCAATCAATACATGCCTTTCGAAAGAATGTTAAATGAATCCAGAAGAAGCCCTTTAAAGAGAAAGACCGTGTTGGAATTGAGGTTTGGGTAAGGCATCGCCTCCCGGACAGTCTCATTCCGCGAGCCCCTCAAAACTCTCGAGTTCGTGCAGGTCCCCTTCACTTCCAGGTCATCCCGGGGGCCGCAGCGGCGGCTGTAATTCTTGTCAGACCCTCCCTGCGCCTTTGAGGGAGGTGCTGTAGGAGCTGACCCGCCGGTGGTGCGCGAGGACGCGCGGGGCGCAAAGAGGCGAGCTCTCGGGCTTGTCCCGGGCACCCACAGTCGTTGGAACGTTCCTGTAGGCGCCTTTCCGGAAAACTGTTGGGATTAGGTCAGGTGGCCCATCACGTGAATGATTAAAAGTTGTTACCTTGGGGAAGAAATGGGGGAAAAGGAGGACGGGCTTTTTTGGAAGTGGGCTGGAAACTACAAAACCGAGCTTCTTGGGAACTGCCTTTTAGTCTAACAGGAAGTGGAGCGTCACCGGGAGGGAGGGGCGGCCACCCGGGGACTGTCCCCTGCTTCAGGCGCTCACTTTGCGGGCGGTGTGTTTTTCAGGTTAATCGCTCAGCGTATGAGACAGGTTGGATGCACGCTGCTGGGTTTAGAAAACAAACAAACAAACAAACAACAACAAAAACAAACAAACAGAAAATGAGCAAGCGAGACGCCCCTTCCGTTCTATGAGAACCAGGCTGCAAGCAAATAAATCGGCTGGCCCCGCTGCAATCTTCTGCACTCGAGGTAAGGAAATAGCAAATGCTCTTGTGTTAAAAAATGTTTTGCAGTGAGGATATATACATGTTTTGCTCTCGTTTTTGGAACTTTGTGCGTGAGTGGGGTAGTGATTCGTTGTCTTTATTTTTGGGAAAATGTAATTTTTTTCAGTGTTCATGTTAATGAAAACTGCTGTGTAAAACAGCTAGATTCCAGAAATTAAGTTCTGTGAAGAGTATTTTTGCCTTTCTTGGCCTAGGTTTCATTATTTTAAACATAGAAGTATTTTCAATTAGTAGAATTTACTTATTTTTTTTAGGAGGCTTTTATATGAGCCATAGACTTTGAATTTTACTCTCCTGCACTGCTGGGGAAATATTAAGTGGGTGCAAACTAGGTTAAAGATAAATATTTCCACGGTAATTGGGTTTTTCTCCAAAACGGCTTTATTTCAATATGATGTAACTGGGGAGGGGTGGGAGATCTATAGAAATAGCCAAATTTCAGTAACTGATTTTCCGTATTTTCTTAATTCATCAAGGTCAGCTGCAGTTTGAGCCTGTATTTTTGCATTCCACCTCTGAAAATGAATTCTGCATTTTATCCCATATTGCTATGAATGAGAAATTGCTCGGCTGGTTTATGGAGAAATCTGCATTACCCCATTACTCCTTTCAAATACTTTTGAAATAAGTTGGAGAAATTGAAGTTTAATTTCAGTTATATTGGTTTCCTGGGACTCCCAAATTGCCCCACTCCCCTCCCTCAAAGATGTAGATATTCCCATGAGGGCCTTCTCCTTTCAAAAAGAGACAATGGCACTTCACATCTTTCAGTCTTAGATGACATAATTAGTAACTTTGATACTAAAGGCATTTTATTGGAAATAGAAATTGAACACTAGTTAATGAGGGAAAGTTCTACAAGTGGGAAATGTTTGCATTTCACTTCTTTTTTCATTCTGAAATATTTTGTCCACATATGTTGACCAATATATATTGTCATATCAAAGTTAAAGTTAGTTTGTTTCATCAGGAGTCATTTAATGAGTTTCTACTATCTGCTAGGCTCTGTGCTGGGTACAGGGTGGGAGGAGGAAAATAATTATAAAGTCAGTTAAGTCCAAATTCTTTCCCTGGAAGAATTTTATGGGAAGAAGCAGCTGATGTGAGGAGAAGGGGTGACAGGCAAATCAGTCTGGGATTTTAGAATTGTGTGATGTTTCAGATGTGCACTAGGTAAGCCCTTGGTGTATCAAAGGGAGACAACTGTCACTCAGTGAGTCTTTTGATAATATACCAAGCCTTTTGTCCCAGCCATCCTGTTGCCCCTTCAGATAACTTGTTTCATGAAAGAACATTATTTTGGAAAATCGAAAATGATTCTTAAGTTCAATTCAGGTGGTGATTACAGATGCAGATTTTGAAAGATTCCAATCATAATTCTTAATTCTTTCTTGTCTTAAAAGAGTAAAAGGGGTTTCTTAGGTCATAAAAATAGATATTGTAATAAACATTTTAAAATTAATAAATGGATTTCTACCCTGAACTTTGAAATATTTGTTTAGATCATTTTCTACTAGTTAACTGCATTACATTAACTAGGCAGACTATACGATGGAAAAAAACCCAGCTTCTAAAACATGTGATTGAGGACTGTGAGAAATGAATGCAGAGCGGATGAAGGGGCAGACGCTTATCTCCAGTCAGGGTTCCAGCTCTTTTCACGCAGTCGTCAGTAAGGAATAGGAAGGATGCCATCTGTCATTCCTTAGTAATCAACCCTGGCATTTAACTGCAGCCTTATTTTAGACCCCATGCTTTTTTGGATGCTTCAAATTGAATGTCCTGTGAACCTTGACTGAATAAAGAAGCTGTGATGGTGGATAAAACTACAGATTCTTAAAAATCTAGAAATCGAATGTCAGGGTAAATTGCTAATGCATTCCAAGGTTTTGCTCCATGGTACATATATATGGCATATAGTTTTCAAATGTAAAAACACATCAGACAGCCAGGATGATATGAGTTTATTCTGCTTCTGCATACTTCCCAAAGGTGAACACAAAACATAGCAAGGTTAGCTACAGGCTCACAGGAAGACTTTATCTATCTCACTGCCTAACTGTAATTTTTAGAACACAGAGTTACTCATTTTAATTTCTAAAAATAATCTGAAGCCTATAGGCCATGGCATTGAAAGCATTTTTAAAAATTTCCTGATGGTTGACAAAAACATCACAGAACAATCTTTGATTTCCCCTAATAGCACCAAGAGATCCTGTTCCTATCAATTACAGAAGCCATTAAGAAAATTTTTTAAAAAGTTAAAACTTTATCATAATGAGGTAAGTACCAGTATGGGATTTTGTTTGTTTGTTTGTTTTTTAAAAATTGGGGTAAAATACACATAACATAGTATTTGCTATCTTAACCATTTTTAAGTGTGTAGTTTCATAGTATTCAGAATATTTACATTGCTGAGCAACCATTCTCCAGAACTTTTTCATTTGGCAGAACCGAAATGCTACACTCATCAACCAACTTGCCATATCCCCCTTCCCCCAGCCTCTGGCAACCACCATTCTACTTTTTGTCTCTGTGAATCTCTAGATGCCTCATATCGGTTTGTCTTTTTGTGACTGGTTTATTTCACTTAGCATAATAGCCTCAAGGTTCATCCATGGTATAGCATGTGGTAGAATTTTCTTCCTTTTAAAGGCTAAAGACTATTTCATTGTACGTATATACCACATTTTGCTTAGCCATTCTTCTGTTAATGGATATTGGATTGCTTCCATGTTTTGGCTCTTGTGAGCAATGCTGCTGTGCACATGAGTGTACTACCAATATTTTTCTCTAAGAAAAATTATTTCCTCTAGAGATACTCTTGTTTCCTTGGAAAACTTGAGCCAGGGTCTGTTAGAAAATTCTTTAAGGCCTCCTTTAGTCTTACCCATAGAAATAGTTCAGCGTATGGAATAAAGCCAATACCCATAAAGTTGAAATATTCTTGTAGACTAGAACAGAGGTGAAGATAAGAGACTACACAAGACACTGAAAAGACAAAGTGGCAAAAGTGTGGAGTTTGGTGTGACCAACCACTCTTTCTGTGGCTCAGGGAGAATCACTTCATAGTCTCGATCTCCGCCATCCCATCTCTAAAATGGGGGTGGATATATTTTAATTTCCTTGTCTCTTGAGATTTGAAACCTTACTGATTTGAGATACTATATAACACACAGGTGGCAGAAGTCTGACAGTTTTCATTACTATTGCTAAGCTCTGTGAGGGCAGGAACTGGGTTCTCTTTGCGTTACCATCCCTAGTGCCTGACAGTGCTGGGCACGGGGTAAGTACCTCTAAGTGTTTGTTGACTGGTGGATATTTGCCAGGGGGATTCGGACCTTCCTCTAATAAAGTTAGAAAGCTTGTATGAGCCAGGATTGCTTTGATGTAGGTTTGATATCTGAAACTATTTATAAATTATAACTCATATGTATGAAATCTGTTTCTCTTAGCGATTTTGGAATGTGAGTTTATTGCTGAACACCACTGTTTTCTAAAAGAGAAGTTTCCATAGAATATTCCAGAGATCCGTTGCCTAACAATCTTGCCTTCTCTCCGTTTTCCTGTGACTGAAACAGAAGTTCAAATGAAAAGCTCTATTATGCTAGAATGGTAAAAGTAATATATTTGCAGATGTACTTGGTTTCTTTTGACCCATTTCTGGAACTAATTTTGCATGGCACTGTACTGAGCTAAAAATGCTTTTCTATTTCTAGGCTTTCTTCTAAGGATGCATTGACTCCTTGGATCCTTACAAGTCGTGGATGTTCCTCTTAGAAATAAGGCCATTCCTACTCCTGCCCTAATACATGTCCCTGGAATTGGTCCTCTCCAAACATCATCATCATCATTATCTTCATCATAGCTGCAATTAATTGGCAATTCCAGGAGAAAGATCCAAGGCTAAAGTGAACTTTCATCTTGCATAGTTTTATGTAACATAAGCTGGGCGCTTTGAGGGTAGAGAGGACCTCGCTGTCTCTCTCAGTAACAAATGGCTGGATTAAAGGAGGAGGTACTTTTAAAAAAAAGTTCCATATAATACTTATGTGTTATTTCCTCTTAAATCAGTGATAATGAAGCAAATCCAATTAATTGATAGTAGCTATCTGAGGAAGTATAGAAAAGGAATCTGATGCTTTTTACAGGCTTAGGAGCTTAAAAAAAAAAAAAAAAAAAGCCAGGACTGTTGGGCAGCTTTTGCTATGAATAAAGGGTGGGAATGGGGAGAGAAGTGGAAACACAGGTACTTACTGTCCGCTATCCCTGCTTTAAATGCTACCCTTGTTGTTCATTCAGACCTGATTTACCTATAAATGAATGGCTCACTCTGCCTGGCTGCCATGAGGAGAGCGTGATCTTTCATGTGCCCAGTACAGAAATTCTTTCCTTACAGCCTGAAGTGAGAAATGACCTGTCACAGCATCTATCTAGTCAAATGCGATATTGCAGTAAATGTAGCTATTTATCCATCTGCTTTAGCAATACTGTTGCAGAACTACAATTTCAAAATGCAATGAGGGCCAGAACTAAGCCTTCTAAAGGACAGGCTTTTAACTGGCTGTCAGTGATCTTATATATGTAGCCAGTTTTACTGTGACCAGAAAAGACAAATTGTATTTATCCGAACAGCCAGTCCATGACTCATTTGGTCCAGATTGTGGTCACCTAAATGATCCATTCTGAACACTGTATAATCGATCCTAAGTACAGCGGGATCACAAGATGAATCCCACATTATGGACACTTTTCTTATTTATTATTACTCTAAGTCTATCCCTACTCTTGGTTTTCCTATTCCTAAATAATTTCCTATTCCTAAATACAAATAATAAAGAATATTTATTGGTAACACAAAATCAGTTAACTTATTTTGATGTGTTTAGACCTGTGAAGAAAGTGATGGCAGTTAGGAAGAGCCTTGTAAGAACAGATGGGTTCCCCAGGAGGAATAGTGAGGGAAAATCATTTAGGAAGCAGAAGATAGCAGTTGGTAAAGGATGAGAAAAGTGGCATGGCACTTCTAAAATAACAGTGAAAAGAATGAATTTCTTGAATATGTAGAAAATACTAAAGGCAAAACTCTTCTCAGAGTGCTGGATAGCACCTGGAAAAGACTTGTAAAGAAAAGTGACCTTTCGTGTGCTATTTCTGGCATTCTGTGTTTTTCTGGGAAGTGTGTGCAGCTTGAAATTTTCGCGGAAGAGGCTTACGATGGGCCATGGTGAGTGACATCTGGCAACAGTGTTCTCGGTTTTCTTTTTCTGCCAATTGTCTTGAAGTCTAAGGAGTTTTTTTGGTCAGTGTCTGGACCCAATCTAAAATTTCATTTCTCAACTAGGTTATATTTTATTTTCTGTTGGTTTAAATCCTGTATGCTGCCTGCCAGATTAAGTCATCTAGCTTCTAATTTTTGTTAGCTCCTTGAAGTTTGGGGAAATTCACAAGGACAATATTATCTAGGAAGTGATGATTTTCCCCCAAGGCAAATCAGCTCATTCTCCCAAGAGCTTCCATAAAAACAAGGATGTGCAAAGGTATTTTAATGCAGAATATCTTTGAAAAGATTAAGAAAAAAATGAGAGTTCTGGGATGTTTTTATTTATCAAGTAGCTTGGCCACAAAACTAAAAGTAGAAACATGGCTCGTGCTTGAGACCACATTTCTGACGGGCTGTTCTAGTCACCAAATGGGGGATAACTCAGGTCTTTTACATAGGGGTTGGTTTCTTGGTTACTACCCAGTCTTAACTGGGCCTTCATTCACATTTAATTTAAGTCTGTTCTGTTAGTTTCAAGCATTTCTTATCCATTGTGGAGTTGGAGACGGTTTAAACAGAGTCCCTCACCCCATTTAACCACAAAGAGTTGACAGCACTCACTCAAAAGATGGGCCCAGCCCTGTCCTGGATGACAAAGACTAATGGAAACTGCCTTCCAGATACAGTCAGATTCAAAAAGGAGCATAGTCAATGGTTGTGATACCTGGGAACAAAGCCTAGTGGCACCATGTTCTGAGTTCCCAGGAGCACTGAGGATGGCGAGCATGAGCAGTGTTTGCAGGGGAGAGGATGTTTGAAAGAGACTTGGGAGGGACCCAGGAGTGTGAGTTCGTCAGGTGGGGCCAGGAAAGGGCTTTGTAGGTGAGGAAAATAACATGTACCAGCACATGGGAGTCCTAGGCCGGCATACTGGCTGTTGGTATTGTTAAGAGCCAAGTCTTGGAATTTGGCACCATGTGTCCCTTTGCTGTGGATTGAGCGGTGTGTGTCATCTGCGTGCCATAAACCTGGGCAGAAACTGCTCATCCGTTGCATAGCTTGTCTCTTACAACTCGTGCACGTTCACAGAAAGAAAGCCCAGGTTCTGAATTGGCTTCTGCATTCCACAGCGGAGATGATTTTACGTTTTGGCAGCTGAAGGCCCTTTTCTGAACGTCTCTATTCTATAATCATCAGTTTTTCGACAAGTACATATTTTGCAGGAGGAACCAGAGGAGAAAACAATCTGTACGACATGAGACAAATCTAGTAGTGAAATGGCAGAATAGTTATCGTTCCTCTGCCATCTGTGGCATCAAAATGAAAATGACAGCTTCTCAATGTACAACGTCAGACTGCTCGCTGCTTTTCTACTTTATGAGTCAGAGGACATAACTAATCTTTGTTCATACTATGCTCTGGCATATTTGTTTTCAGTTTCAGTCTGGATAATTATTGCTTTTTCAGTCCGAAGGTACTAGCCCCGAGGAAAGGATTATTCATTCAACAGCTTTCCTTCTAGGGAGTTTGGATAGATGATGTAAATAAGTAAGTGACTAGTGGGTCTTTGAAAATTCAGATGGTCCATTTAGAGACACCCATTAGAGAATTTACAACTGTCACTTTATAGACTATGCATTATTTACTTTACTTTTATACCCACATTTAAGAAATTTTTTTAGCATCTCAAATAATGCTCTTCCAAAAGCTATTCAACTCTCAGATGTTAAAAAATTTCTGACATAGTGACCCCACAGTTCTACTCCTAAGTATATACCTAAGAGAAATGAAAACATATGGTCACATAAAAAACTTGTCCATGAATAGTCATAAGAGGATTACTCATAATAGCAAAGTGGGGAAACAACCCAAATGTCCAGCAACTGATAGATAAACAAAATGTGTTTTATCTATGTGGGAATGGAATGCTATGTGGCAATAAAAAAAACATGAGCGAGATACTGACATATATATATGAGGACATGGATGAACCTTGAAGACAATCTGCTAAGGAAAGAA